CCTGCAGGCCAGAAGGGAGTGGGATGATATATTCACAGTGGTGGGGGAAAAAAAAGAGGTAGCTAGTAAACCATACCCAGCAAAACTGTCATTCAAAAATGAAGGGCAGATGAAGATTTTTCATGCAGAGAAAATCTGAGAGTTTGTCACCACTAGATCTGTCTTACAAGAAATGCTAAAAGCTGACATGAAGGGATGCTAAACAGAAATATGATAGTGTAAGAAAGTATGAAATTCATTGATAAAGATAAATATATAAACAAATACAGAATAGTATATTGCTGTCATGGTAGTGGATAAATAACTCATATTCTACTACAAAAGTTCAAAGATAAAATAAAGTAAAAATAACAGTAAAAGATATACATTATGAATAGATGTAAACTATTACAACAATAATATAAAGTGCATGAGGGGGAGAGGTTAAAGCATAAATTTTATGTATATGATTGAACTTAAGCTTGAAATTTGACTATCCGCTTAAAATTGACTATTGCAACTGTAAGATATTCTATGTGAACCCCAAGATAACTACAAAATAATACTTAGAGAAGATAAGCAAAAGAAAAAAGTATTCAAACTACGTCCTTTTAAAAAATCAACAAAACACAAAGGAAGACAGCAAGAGAGGAAAAGACAAAGGACCCCAAGACTAACAGAAAACAATAAAGTGACAAGAGTAACTTTTTCCTATTGATAATTACTTTAAGTGTTAATGGTTTAAACTCCCCAATAGAAAGATATAGAGTGGCTGAATGAATCTAAAAACAAAAACCAAGCAAACAAAAAACTATCTGCAGTCTAAAAGAATCTATTCATAGATGTGGAAATTACCTAAATGTATATGGACAGATCAATGTATAGAGAAAATGTGATATATGCATACAAGGGAATATTCATTCAGCCTTTTTTTTTTTTAAACTTTTTTTTTTTTAATTTTTATCCATTTATGATAGTCACACACAGAGAGAGAGAGAGAGAGAGGCAGAGACACAGGCAGAGGGAGAAGCAGGCTCCATGCACCGGGAGCCCGACGTGGGATTCGATCCCGGGTCTCCAGGATCGCGCCCTGGGCCAAAGGCAGGCGCCAAAACCGCTGCGCCACCCAGGGATCCCTCATTCAGCCTTTAAAAAGAAATTCTGCAATATGTGACAACGTGGGTAAACCTTGAGGACATTATGCAAAGTGAAATAAGACAGTCACAGAAAGTCAAATACTCTATAATTACTCTTATGTGAGGTATCTAAACAGTCAAATTAATAGAATTACAGAGTGGAATGGTAGTTGCCTGGGACTGAGGGAATGAGGAATTGAGGAGTTAATAATACACAGGCATAAAATTTCAGCTGAGCAAGATGAACAAGCTATAGAGATCTGCTATATAATATTATACCTGTAGTCATTGTAGCTATAGCTAACGTATTACACACTTAAAAAATTATTGAAAGGGTAAATCTCCTGTTAAGCATTCTTACCACAATAATTTTTTTTTTTTTAAAGAGCACTTGTTTTAGCTTCTGTAGTCTGGGTTTAAGACTGTATTTTAGTATTAACTAAATATGTTAACTTAAAAAATGTAATTATCTTCTCTTGGCTTCAGATTTTTCATCTATATAATAGGAGTAGCAATAGATAATATGTAGGGCTCTTACTATAATCAAATTATCCTATATGGATAAAGGAATACCATAGTGCTGTTGCTTATTAGATACATCTGCTCAGATGACCTTTTTATGACATATTTTTTTAATTTATTTATGATAGTCACAGAGAGAGAGGGAGAGAGAGGCAGAGACACAGGCAGAGGGAGAAGCAGGCTCCATGCACCGGGAGCCTGATGTGGGATTCGATCCCGGGTCTCCAGGATCATGCCCTGGGCCAAAGGCAGGCGCCAAACCGCTGCGCCACCCAGGGATCCCTATGACATATTTTTTATATCTCTTGCCTCTTTAGGATTTTGTTTTCTCTACTTTTCCCTCTTCATACCGTAAAAAAACACACTCAAAAATATTCCATCTTAAGGAAGGGAGTGGTACCTTAATTTTTTATTTCTCTAGTATTATCCTAGTTATCTTGTTTGCTTCACAACCAAATTCTTAAAGACATTATTTTTATTCTGTAATCTGTTCTCATTATCCCTTAAATTCTCTACAATCTAAATTTTGCTCCCACCACTTCACTGTAACTGCTCTTCCTGTAATATCTTTTTGAGTACAAGTTTTGATGGACTCTCATACCTCATATAATTTAAGAAGCATTGGCACTCTCATCTTTCTTAAAGTGCTCTCTCATCATATATTATCCTCTCTTCAGTCTTTCAACAAAATAACTTTTTCCAGATTCTTTTTGATGCTTCAGATGACTGTTTTTAATTGTCCTTTGCTGATTGCTCTTCCTTCCCTGTAAGACTGATGTTCCCAGATTTCATTGTTATCTCTATGTTCTTCTCCTTTGCCCATCTCAGCCACCTCTTTGAATCATTACCACCGTTGCTTCCGAATCTGTTACTTCATCTTAGAAAACTCTGTAAAGTTCAGAATCTCATTTATTATCTATTGATTCAGTTAATGTGTATTCAGCATCTACCATGCGTCAGATATGGGCTGAGAGGAGGTATTGGAATAGAGCAGTAAAAGCACAAACTAAGATCTTTGCTTTCATTTTCTTGGATGTTTCACAGGAATTTCAAGTTCAACATCTCCAAAACTGAACCTCCCTTCTCCCCCCAACTCCTTCTTTCTCTTGTATTTTATATCCTGGTAAATAATTCTAACCACTAAGGAATTCAAACCAGAAATCTGAGAGTAATCCTATGCTCTCATTTTGTTGACATCCCCTTCACAACATCAAATCCACTTTTTAATATCTTTTAAATCCAGTCCTTCATTTTTATCTATAAGTACACTTTAGGATCACCTGGGCTCTGCATGTATAAAATTTGATCATTTTGTACCTACTTCATAGGGTTGGTGATAAGATTAAATGAGATAATATATTCACTAGGCTTAATACAATATTCAGCACATGGTAATTATTTATTAAATGTCAGTTGTCCTTACTAAATACTAATAATTATCAGCCCTTAGGATTGACATGGAAATTTAACCTGTTTCCCATCCTTGCCTAGAAGAACAAAAGTATTGACAATCTAAATTGCTCATCAAAAGTACCTTGTGCTATACAAATTAACTTTTTTTATATAAAGAGTTTATACATATATACATGTATACAGTCTGCCTGAACTTTAATAAAGCTTTTAACTTGAGATCTGAGTAACAAGACGGGAATGTGTGATGTAAATCATGCCACTGTAAGCACAGCTATAACTCAAGCATTTTATTGGAATTATCTATATCTATATATCTCAGAAATAATTATTTAGGGAGACAAATAAAAGGTTTAGAACCACACCTATCTCCTCTATTCTAACTTTGCAATCTTTTAACTGAACAGCCAGTAAGATGGAGGTCAAATTATCTTCTTTATTATGGAATTTGAGAATATAGCTTGGGTGCACAGTCAGATTGGCTACTAATACTTTCACTACTGAATTGAATTTATCACCACTGCTATAGGCTATTACCATTACCCTACTGGGGGCTGAGCCTACTATGATAAACTGTACTTTGGAAGGCTAGCTAATGTAAGGACCAAAAGAACCATGAATTCTCAGCTCCTTTCCTCTATTCACCAATCATAGAGCCATTCCTGCTCTCTTGGGGAGGACAGACTAAACAGACAAAGCTGGTTAGAAAACCACTTTTCCTAACTGAGAAAGTGCCTCAGAAAGGGAAGATATTCCTGTCTTGGCCATAGGAAAATAGTAGGAAAAGAGAGAAAATAGTTCTCATTAATATGCCCCCAATGATGTAAATATATGGTCAATGTGAGTTCTTCCTAAGTATTGAAAAACTTGAAGGTAAACATTACATTTTCAGATAATAGCACAAAAATTGATGCCCCAGAAAACACTATAATTCAAAGTGATTTCATTAATCAATGAAATCCACTCTTTAAAAATGAATAAGGAATAATAAAAAGCAAAGCAACCCAGAAATAGGATAATACTAGGCATATTAGAAACATGTTAATATGTGAAGATATTAAGATAATATTAGGAATGTGCTAATAGGAATAAGATATGTGAAATTAATATAATTTTTACAACTCATATTGCAGTATTATATTCATTTTTAACAAGTAGGTATGAAACAAGACATGGAAAAAATAGGAAGTATCCATAGATCAAGCAAAAAAAAAAAGGATAAAATGAAAGCAATGTTGAACAGTAGAAAGAAAGAACACACGTGTGCTTTGAAACACACAAATCTGGGTTGAAATATTAGTCCTATAACATATTAGTTGCAGGGCCTTATCAATGCCAGTTGACCTCCCCTAGTCTCCTTGCCTGGTTTGTGAAATGGGGGCAACTTCATATGGGTGTAGTGCTAGAATACGTCACATCATGCTGGCCTATGGTAACCTCTCACATTCACATAATTTCCTCAATCCCTGGGAAACATATTATTGGAAAATAAAGCCTGAAAGAAATGATTAATTTGTTTTGAATGAAAAGAGGTGACTTAGCTTGCCTTCCAGTAAACAGTCTCTTAATACCCTGAATACTTTTAAGACCCTGAAGAATCTAAGTTGGAAGAAATACTTCAAATTGCATCACTTCTATTCTTGACTTCCTGGGGAATATAATACTGGACTAATTCCTAGTTCCTAGAGTGTTCAAACCAGGAAATCATGCAACATTGTCATAAATGTGTATTTAAATAATTTGAGAATGATTAAATCTAATCTTTTTCTGCAAGAATTTTAATCACACAGGTGTCTTACATTGTTATAAGGACTATGACCCAGTTCATCTATCTTGAAACTAAACTGCCCCAAATATTTTCTGAAATGTATTTGTCAATTTTTGTTAGTATATAATATTACATATTACCTATATTAATGCATATTAATTTTTAATTAATATTTATTTTTCTAGCTTTTACAACTGGGACAGTCATATTGCTGTTTGTAATTCAACTCCCAATTATCAAGTGATTGCTGATAATCCAGAAGGCTTACTTTTCAAATACAAAAGAGACAGAAAAATTCTCAATGTGGACCCAAAGGTAAGACTGCTCTTACATTTATATATCCCCCTGAATTTTATTGTATTTCTACAACTATTATTAAAACTATTATTAAAAACTATTAAATATTTGACATTCTTAAGTATTTAAATCCAGAAATAAAGGACTATGTTGAAACATAGGACATGCATTATTCTTAAGGAAACTCCAAACCTAATCAATTATCAGAAATCAATAAGGAAGAGTTTGAGGGGAATTTAAGTAGAACTCACAAGTGAGAATGCTTCTTCAAGCCTACCAGCAAAATTAGATTCAGGAAGTGGGCAATGCATTTGTGGGTTCTGATCCTGGAGATGTCCAGTACGTTTTGCTCTAAGTGGGAAGATGAATCATTTAATCATTTACAGAAGGGACACTCTCACCTCACAATTGTTCTCAGAATTCTAACATCCCTTTTTATATGTGACTAACATTGAAATACACTCTTAGTGTATTTTTAAGTGCTAACTTAGAAATTATATTTTATTTAAATATTTTAAAGACATGTCCCATGATATTTTGAATTTGTTCAAGGACAAATTTTTACATCTTACATATTTTAAAAAACTGTGTTTGCATCATGACTTTTAATCATGACTTGTCATGTGTTTGGGGGTGAAGGTTAAAGGTTAAAACTTTACTTAAAGTCATATGTACTTGAGTTGCTTAGGTATTTTTTTAACTTTTGGAAGTCATGTTAGTCATATGACAGCATCAGTCTAAAATACAAATTAAAAAAATATTCCTTCATAAGAAAGAAATAAGAATTGTATGATATAACGGGGATAGAAAAAACAAAACAAAACAAAACAAATAACGGGGATAGAGGCAAAGATAGACCAAAGGAAAATGACCAAAGATTTTCCAAATCTTTTTAGAAATTTAAAATAAAAAAATGATTTTTGTTTCATATCCATTTAGTACAGTTTATTGCCCCCCAAAAAACGCTGAAAACTACATGTTCAAAGAACAAAATAAATGAAATTCTGTAGTAAGAAATGAATTGTTGGGACGCCTGGGTGACTCAGTGATTGAGCATCTGCCTTTGGCTCAGAGCATGATCCTGGGGTCCTGGGATCGAGTCCCACATTGGGCTCCACACAGGGAGCCTGCTTCTCCCTCGGCCTATGTCTCTGCCTCTCTCTTTCATGAACAAATAAATAAAATCTTTAAAAAAAAAAAAAAGGATTGTTGTCTACAATCAGATACAATTCCAAATATCAGAAACTCTAAGACAGTGACTTAACAGAATTGAAGCTTCTTTCTCTCCCATGTATGACTCTAGATTGTCAATCTTTCAGTGGCATCTCCACAGTCATTTAGGCCAAAGTGGCCTTCATTTTCATGGCCCAAAATGGATCTCCAGCCAAAACAACCACATTTCAGACAAAACCCATGGAGGGATTTCAGAGGCTGCAAAGGACAGCCCCTTCAGTGACTTTTAAGGAAGTTTCCCAAAAGCTACCACACAAAGGTTTACTTATATTCCAAAGCAAGAGCTTAGTCACATGGCTGTGTCTATCTACTATCTACATGGAAGGCTGGGAAATGTAATCCTTATTCATCTGGTCATACATTTAGCTGAAATCAGAAGTTCTAGGAAAGAGAGAAAAGAGATTTGGGTAGACAACCAATAATTTCTGACACAACGTTATCTCCTTCAAAAGAACACTACTTTTGGGGCACATGGGTGGCTCAGTAGGAGGAGCATACATACAGCTCTTGATCTTGAGATCATGAGTTCAAGCCCCATGTTGGGTTGTAGAGATTACTTAAATAATTTTTTTTTAAAGAACACTATTCTTTTTTTGGTCTCAGGTTTCTCATTGGTAAAATGAAGGACTGAATCTGAAAATCATTGGGGCTGTAATTATCATGGATTTATGAAAACTGGCACACCTTCTCTCTAGTTGTACCTCTTTCCTTCTCACAAATGGGTGTCAAAATTGAGGCAAAGTACTGGAAACCTAATAAATCACATTCACAGAGACTTTTACTCTTAAAGGGCTAAAGATAAGACACAGGCAGAGGGAGAAGCAGGCTCCATGCAGGAAGCCCGACATGGGACTCGATCCCAGGTCTCCAGGATCACGCCCTGGGCTGAGGGCGGCTGTCAACCACTGAGCCACCCAGGCTGCCCAAGATATAAAATTAATAATGTCTTCATTAAGATGTGGGAAATACATTTTTGAATTAATTTTGACTAATATCACACTTAAATTACTTTAGGGCTCTATTTTAACTGAAGGCATATACATACTTCAAGAATGTATGTCATGAATTACAGTTTTTATAGTCTTTATGGAATCATTATTGAATACAAACTGTTACTTGAACATAGTTTAAATAACTAAAGCACTGAAATCCTAAATAATCAAACATGAGATTTCAAAGATTTAGTCAGCAATACATAAATTTTAACATTTTCTTCTTTGGGGGAGGGAGGTTTTCATTATAATTCCATTATAATTCAAAAGATTCATGATGAGTCTGAAAGAAAGGTATTTCCAAATCCTGGGGAAAAAATAAGAGTTTAGTTAATTAGTGATGAGAGGAAAGAATTATTAAAAGAATTAATTTTAGACAAATCATTGGGTGGGACACTTGATAACATTTAGATACTTATATTTATTTAATCTTCCTTTTAATTTTACATTTTTTGAAGATAAGAACTTATAGCTGACCTACTAGAAAATAATCCTGGTTTCAGCATCAATAAACACAATTCTATGCCTTACCTTACAATTAACTGGCTTCCTGGCCTTTTGAAATTCACTTAACTTCTCAGGGTTTTCACATTCACAAATGGAAGATGTGGGTACTTTTGTTTCCTGATCTCTAGGGTCCTTTTACAGCCCTAATTCTCAGAGATTCTGACTCAACTGGTCCCAGGCATACATTTTTTCACAAGCAGCCAGTGTGATTCTACTATAGATTATGAACCACAATTTGAGGAAAGCCTCTGCCTGAAAAGACTACAATCTCAAGAGATCTGGCACTCTGTTTTCAAACATTTGACTTCAAATAATATATAACACATATATTTTAATTTTCATGGACTAGGTATGAAATTAGTGTGTATATCTCCTACATAATTACTTACCTTCTTCTAAGAGCCGTGATCCTTTTATATTTCAGTTACCCCATATAGCATCTCTTACAGACCTACAGAAAAATAAAAAATAGGCTGTCAAGTTTTTAAAATTACAAATGCACAAGAATTGCATTTTATACTTAATTTATACTTAATGTTTTCATTAATAATTTTATTTGAAATTCTTCCTAAAATTAACACCATAACTTATAATACTATAATGTGTTCTAAAATACTGTAAGAACAACCCAACTAAACTCTCCTTTTCCTTTTCTTCAAGTAATCTCTTTGAAATATTTTACACTTGAAATTTTAAAAGGTCAAGATAAACAAAAGGTGGAAACTATGATAAACAGGATGTCTTTCCTTTGTACAACACAGATGTAGACTCATTAATTCTGAAAAGTGGTCCCCATGAAACATAGTTGTTTGTGAATGGTAAGAGTGGAAAAAAAATTGTGCAGGTCTTAGAAAGAGTAATATGAGTTCATTGGTTAAGAAATTCCAAATGCAATAAGAGTTTGGTTGCATTGAAAATAGGACCACTGGCTTTCACTTCCCTGCAGCTGTAAAACATCTGGAACAAATAAAGCTAGTTTCTATTTTTGAGTGAAAAATGCTTGTCTGAATGATTCACACCCACCAAAATGTTTCCAGTGTATTATCTTTAGAAGGATTGAGTGGAAGAACTTTGCAATCACTCCCTACATTATATGAACAAATGAAAAAATAGGCATTTTTATTTTGCTTTGAAGAAGCATTGACCATGGGAGAGTTTCGAATCTTAGAATAATATAGGTAGTCTAAAACCTTTGTGACCTAATCAGAGAGACAGATTGTTTAGAACACTTAAAAACTGGAAAGATCTTCCTTAATGGAAGCTTTTCTCCCCTCCCTTCTTCCATTCACTAAATGAGAGAGGTGAGCTCATCACCTGGAAGAATGCCTGTTTAATAGACACTTAATAAGTATTCATGGAATAAATAATTGAATGATCTCCTCCAAACACACAAAAATAATACTACACTAATTAAAAGTTGAGAAGCAGATTATGTCACTGATACTTGACATAGCAGTGATAGCCAGAATGGGAATAGACCTCATTCTATATCGATCCAAATAAGTCAGGAGAAAAATTGTGGGAATTTATCAATGGAAACAGCCAGTGTAGCCATAATTTTAAGTTTTTAAATGTTATGCAGAAATCTTAATTTTGGTATGTGCTTTCGAGTCTTGTACAAATCCAGGAATATATAATTTAAACCATCTCAAATTAAGACTTTTGAATTAGAACATGTTTTTGAGGGGCACCTGGGTGGCACAGTCAGTTGAACATCTGCCTCTTGGTTTCTGCTTAGATCATGATCTCTAAGTCATGAATTTCAGGTTTGGGGATGGAGTCCTGCATCGGGCTCCACGCTCAGCATAGAGTCAACTTGAGATTCTTGCTACCTATACCCCTCTTACTCATGCTCTTTCTCTCTAAAATAAATAAATAAATATTTTTTAAAAATGTTTTTGATTTTTGAGTAAATTGACTCAAACATGCTTAATGACTTACTCAAAGTCACATAGTTCATTATTAGTAGAGTCTGGCAATGGAGCTTAAATATAAATATTATGAGACACCACAATAGATCTAAAAATGAGCAAGAGTTCAACCTTTCCCTTTATTAAGTTTATAATAAGGATATAAGAAATATAACTGCAGTATAAAGCAGAGAATGATATGCTACCAAAAAGAGAGAGAGAGAGAGAAAGAGAGATGCCTTGGAGATTCAGTGGAAAAAAGAGATGAGTTTTGATCTAGGGTAGGAGCCAGTGGAGAGGGGATGGTGAGAGGACAGCATTGGATAGTTAGGTGATAATGGAGGAGGTAATTTTTTAATTAGGAGTTGAACTCATA